CGTAATCACGTGCCTAAGTTAATAGTTTGGAGGGCTGCATAACAAAACGTGTAAGTACATAATATTGTATAATATATAATATGGTTTTAAGTAACCTATAAAATGCCTACCAATTATTACCTAGATGGGTGTTTTTGATAAAAATAATTAAATTAATTAATTGATAGTGATAAAATAACTAATCATAAGTGTGACTTTTTCGCTTGTCGCTCTACGCTTATAAAAAATATATTACATATTATATTATGACAATGACTCACACCAGTCACACCTGCAAATTGCAATCACACCTAACTAATTACTAAATAAATATATTCAGTAGATACCTATCTAATTTATTATTTTTATTTAATTTATTTTGTTACAGTTTGTTTGATGGATAGAATTCTGTAATAATCATCAATATTAGAGAAGTAATGAATAATATTTTTAAACGCTATACTGATGCAATGAAGTTCCTTAATCCTTACTAAATGAAAATAAACACTACCAGGGTAAGTCATTTAAATTAAATATTTATAGGTAATTGTTGTTTAGATTAATCACATTTTAATTTAGATTTGTTTGAATATGACTTTGTTGGTCAAAACACTTAAATACCGAAAATAATTGTGCAGCATCTGATAGTTGCTTTTGGTGAAGTGGATTGGATTAATGCTCACAATATTTATGTTGGATACATAATGACAATACAAAATAGTATAGTAAGTTTATATATAGACTATTTTATATTTATGTTTAAGAGTTAAGCATTATAAATTAGCCATAACTACAATTTAACCTGTTACAGTGTGTAGTGTCCTAAGCTTGTACCTAATAATAACTAGATAAATACATGCAATATTATCTTCACAATTTGGAGGCAACAAAAGAAATTAATGTTCTATTAACAATTTCTATTTTTGAGTAGAAGGTTTTTAGTATTTTGTATTTTAAAATTACTTTACTACTACCAAAATATATTGTAAAAATAAATAAATATCTATAAGTTTAGTTATTTAGATTCAAATCGTGCAAACTGCACTATGGATTGAAATTATAATTATTAATCTGAATGTTGTTGTTATTGTTCATTAACTGTATGGTGTAGTCACCACCCATGGCCACCTTAAGATTTTTTTCTGTTGATTTATGTAGATTAATGAAATTATTAAATTCAAACAAATATGACAGAAACTTTTATTAAAAAAACAAATTACATAATCTGAATAAATATATAAATAAAATCAACAACTTTTTAACAATATTATAAAATTAATAATCAACACTTGGTAATATTTAAGAGATAGATCTATGGGTTTTAAAATAAATAGAGTTTCATCAATACCACCTATATGTCTATATAAATTCAGAAGTACACATTTTTAATTCTTAAAGATTTTGTTAAACGATGAATGAAAAAGTGACAAACAAGATATTGAAAAATATTATAACAATGTTCTCAACTGTTTTTTTTTAATACTTTTTATCACCCTTTTAATACATTGGTGTTGATGAATACAACAATAACCATAGTGTCAAAAAAACTAAAAAATTATTATTGTTTTCAAATAAAATATAAATGACTGACCATAGAAGGGGTAGTGGCTATAGGTGGCGACTCCACCATACAATAATAATATTATACTTTGGTATAAGTTCTTAGAACTTCTGAAACAAACAATAATTATTAATTAGTATAAGTTATAAGTATTAGCTATAAGTGTGTGACTCTGTATGGTGAAGATTTTCGTAAATTTCAAAACAACACCTGGTTAATGGAACTGTGATTGACGCACTGCTATTGACTTATGTGAATAATTAAATTGGTTATATTCCTGCGGAAATCTATATATATAAAAATGAATGTGTGTCTGTGTGTCTGTGTGTCCATGTTACCATGGTTACCAAGGTTGCCATGGTTACTAAGGTTACCAAGATTTCATATCAATCTATATAATATATAAAAATGAATGTATGTCAGTGTGTGTGTGTGTGTGTGTGTCCATATTACCATGGCAACCATATCTGTATATAAAAAACAGTAAGCTGATTGACTGCTATCAACGCACAGCTCAAACCATTGGACGGATCTGGCTGAAATTTGGCATACAGATAGCTATTATAATATAGACGTGCGCTAAGAAAGGATTTGCTAAAATTCGCATTTTAAATAGGTGCTGAAACAGGGACATTGAGATTCACGATAGAAATTGGAAATTTTATTTTTATTTATTTATAGTTGCCATTGGTTACAGTCTACATTAGAAATTAGCATTTATTTATTGGTTGCCATTGGTTATTCGGGCAGATCAGGTACAAGCTTGCATCAAATCGAATTATTGAACAATGCTTACCAGGGTGGCAGAGTTGCACTTACCGCAGAAAATTACACCCAAAAGGAGTTCAACAATCATAATTTTTTTAAGAGTTGCGATTTTTTACGAGCAACTAAATTTATTATATTAATCCACAGTATTACATCAAAATAAACTTGGTATAACTTTGATACTTTAGAGTTAAATCATACACTTCCGTACAAACAGCACGGGGTCCGCGATCTACCGCAGGTAGATTGCCTACCTGATAATGTACTGCTGCGATTCAGAATTTTTATTCAGGGCAACGGGAAAGATAAGATAAATTTTGAACACCATACACGTTAATGAATTGAACAAAGTTTGAGTAGGTAGTATTGAGTTGATCCATTTAACGGGCGACGAAGTGCACGGGATCAGCTAGTAAGCAATACAATATGGTCAAGTACCAAAGTTAAAATAGCCAAATTTGATTGGACTAAATACTGTGTGTTATTTCTACCTATCAATCCTGAAGGTAATCATTGGACTTTATTTATTATGGACTTCATTTTGGGTTGTGTATTTTACTTGGATCCTCTGCGTCCAGAATCAGGTGACTTGTACTTACCTCGATTAAAAAAAATGATGTTTTCAATGTGTGGTAATGAAAAAGCAAAATATTTGCTGCATAAAATGGTTCTTAAAAATATTGAGTATCCTTTACAGAATGATAGTAACAGTTGTGGAGTGTTTGTGTTGTATTATTGTAGTACATACAATCCAATGTTTACTCAGAGCTTTTCAAAGGAAGTTAATGTGAGTGAATTAAGAAATACATTGCAGCATCAATGTTTAATGTACTCTGATAATATCAGTGAAAGATGCCTTATGTGTGCACAAAATATAAAAGTAAGTTTTACTTGGATTAAGTGCTTTACATGTGAGCAAAGAGTTCTTAATGTGTGTGTAGGTGGTGTATGCTACAAATTTATGACTAAAGAATTCAAAATTGTAACGATACCAACTTCTGTTTTTTAAAAATGGATATAAAGAAATATCGTATTATTGTACCTGTAATCACTGTCTGGGTAAAAAATGTTATTTTAATATTATTAACTATAATTTATAATAGTAATTATAAATTATTTAACATTTAATATTTTAATTATTAAATAATTTATAATTTGTATACAAAATTTATCATAACTATGCTCTACAAAGTATGTATTTATTTTCCTTTTATTAATTTATCATTTAAATAAAATAATATTTGTTTTCTAGTTCCCTAAGAGAATATTCTACTTTATAATAGTGACGACAAGGAAAACTTTGATGGTAAATTGTTGAGCATAAAATTCTAATGATCTATTTATTTTTATTTAAAATATAATACCATTTGTTTTCTAGTTCCCCAGGAGGATGTTCAATTAAGTGATGGGGATGATGAAATTGATGGTAAATTTCAAGGTTTAAATTATGAATGATCTTGTTCTCTGATCTCTATAATATTCACTATTGATTGCAATATTATTTATGTTTATACTATAGCAGGTCCAGTAAATTTTAATGTGCCACAGCAAGCTCCTGAAACCTATTTTACTGTGCCTGGGATCTGTCTCAATTCTTTAGTATATATGGATAACATTGGGTATAAATACTATAAGAATATAAGTCGTAACAACAAAATGTGAGTACTTATCATAGTTTATTACGATTACAGATTATATGAATTTTAACAAACATAATATTTTAATGAGTTAGGTACTTAGTATGTGAAAATCAAAAGAATAAGGCTGAATTCTGCCCATCGACAGCAATAGTGAGTGTGGATATAAATGAGAATTGGTTAAGATCAAATATAAGACACAACCATTTTCCACCAATTGTGGACATTCCAGTGGCCCATTTGAGGAGGAGTATTGGCATTGCAGGCACAACTACTGGAAGACTGTCAAACTCAATCAGACATATCTATAATAATGAAATAGTTGAGTAAGTACAATTTTGTATGATTTATGAACAATAACTATGAAATTAATAACCATACAAATCCTTTTATTTTTACTCAATATGATTAATCATAGTGCTGATAATATATTTTGTATATGTTATAGAAACCCTGATGGAGCAAAAAATTACACATTTTTACAATGCCAATCAAGAGTAAGGAGAATGCGACAATGTTCTCGTCCACAAAGTGTCGATACAATTGAAGAACTCGCAAACATTCTGAGCCTGGAACAAAATAAATCTTACTCATCAACGTTGCAGCGTCCACCATCAAGGTAAATTTTTTGAATGCCAAACTATTAATTAAAAAACACATTGATTAAATTTATATATCTATTGCTTTCTAATTTTTGTTTAGATTTTTCCAAGAAACATTTGAAGCTGACGAGGAAGTTGTTGGCGTAATTTTTTTCAATTTAGACGCCATTCAAAAATATTAGCATGAACTTTTATCCGTCAACATTGCAGGAGTGGACGGAACGTTTAAAACAGTGCCTAAACGTCCTCCTCAATTTAACAAAGGCTGCCTTCTGACATTTCATGTACTATTTAAAAATGTAGTAAGTTTATGATTACAAGTAATTATTTTGTAAGTAATTGGTCAGCTCTTTTTTTGGTGTCTAGTCTAGTGTGTCCAATTTTATTTACATTCATACCTTATTTAATATTTTATGATCTAATACCTAACTTAATTTTGTCAAGTCTTTTCCAATGGTATATGCATTAACCGAAGCAGCATATAAGTCATTTTTTAGAGTAGTTAGAAGAGTACTACCATTAAATTATGCACAAATCACTATTATTACGGATTATGAAAGAGCTTTAATGACCGCCGTAAAAAGTATTTTTCCTGAAAGTAAACTTCGTGGTTGCTGGTTCCACTTCTGTCAAGTAATGTCATGTTAAGTTCTTATGCTTCCTGTAACAATTATAATTATAATTATTTTTTATCTAGTCCGTTATCCAATACTGCCGAAAGAGTTTAAATAGTGTATTCCACTTATTCCAAAATAACCCTGAAGCAAATAGAGTTCTGCGTATGGTAATATTATCTTATTCTAGTTATTTTGTTTAAGGCACTTAAATGTATGTACCTAATTCATACTTTTAAATTTGAATGATCAATCATTTTTAGGTTTTAGCATTACCACATCTTCCTGCAGAAATACACCCGGAATGTCGTTTTACTATGAGCGATGGGTTTCATGCTATAATTGAATATGTAAACCAGTATGACCATATTTCGGAACGCCTTCATAATTTTTAATTGGTTACATTCAACGTTTTTGGTTTGATCAAATAGGTTGAGCAATTATTACTGTTTTTGGGTAATTTATATTTAATAAATAAGGATAATCATTTTAAATTGCCGAAAATGAATGTTCATTTACATTGTATGTTTGAAGGTCAGACATTCGAACCAACAACTATTTGGAATCATTTCATAGAACCTTACTAAGCCAAATAGGAAGAAACCCCAATATTTGGGATTATTTATGTAAACATAATCCTAGATATCAGCGTTTGTTTATTATTTATATTTGTTTGTGTTGTATTTTACCAAGGCTGGGTAAGTTATAATTTAAGTCTATTTCTCCTATTATGACTAAAAAAATGTATAATAATGGTTATAATATTGCATATTATGTATATTAATATCTTTATAAGTAACTGATTTTTAAAAATAGTCAACTTGCAGAGCCTTGTATTTTACTGTTATGTGAATTATAAAGTATTTAACAAACAATACTGCCCAGATATAGGTGATGGAAGATGTTCATTTATTTGTTTTGCTTGTAGCACAATATAATAATATTGTGTGATCTACAATATTACAACATGTCCATTTCATCTTGGTGTTAACTGTTCTATTTTATGAATTTGAATAGTTGTATAATACATTTATAGTTTGCTTTATTATTTAAATAATAGAGATACATATTATAAAACAACTCTATTTGTTGTCGCATAGCCAATATTCATTAAATAGAACAGTATCTGCCATTTGGATATATAATGGTAAAGTAAATAATGTATTGTGGTAAAGTGAGTCTTATTGTTGTTATTTTATTTTAAAAACTGTTTAATTTATATTTTGTAATTTTTAATTTGTATCATGCAAATGCTGTGATTAAAAAAAAACACATTGTTGTATAGATTAATACATTTTTTGCTACTAAAACAATTAGGGAAGTGGAATCCATTTGGATGTATAATGGCAAAGTAATGTATAGTGGTAAAGTGAGTCTTATTGTTGTTATTTTATTTTAAAAACTGTTTAATTTGTATTTTGTAATTTTTAATTTGTATCATGCAAATGCTGTGATAAAAAAAAAAAACACATTAAATTATCTAATAAATTTTTTGCTACTTAAACAATTAGGTAAGCGGAATAATTTTTCATATGTACCAATTATTTGTATTAATTAAAACTATATTATTATTATGTTAGCAAGACTATTGTTGATTGAAAACCAGTACTATGTAGAAATGGACCAAGCTCGGAGAAATCATTCAATACGAAATAGTGTAACTCGATTTAATCGAGCTGATGCTACATATCGAATTAAGAACTATATTCAAATATTAAATGGGGACAATGATATTTTAATGTTCTTAAGAAGAGCAGGCCATACCATGGATGGATATAATCAAGCCTTTACCTATGGGTTATTAGGTACCTACCTGCGTTGTTACCGTCGTCGTATAGGTAAATACGTGTAAGTACCTAATTTTAATTTAAATTGTGACATTGGAAAAAGTATTTAGTTTTTGTGAAGTAGGTACCTTATTGGTACATAATATTTTATACGTAGGTATTTAATATATAGATTTTTTATTGCTTGCTAAATTCTTATAGTATTTTGTCAGAACAGCAAATATAATATAATAATAATAAAACCTAGACCAATCCAAGATGTATGTCGCTGGAAAGCCACTGAGTTCCGACAATTTCTTTTATATACTGGTCCAACAGTACTTAAAGATATATTAAATGAAGAATGTTATAACAATTTTTTAGCATTACATATTTCAATGAGAATTCTTTTAAGTGATAATAACCATCAACATCTACATTATACTCGTAATTTATTAAAATATTTTGTCAAATCATTCCAGTATATCTAAGGCGCTCATTTTATATCCCATAATGTACATGGAATTCTTCATTTGTGTGATGATTATGAAAGGCATGGACCTCTCGACACGTGTAGCACTTTTCCTTTTGAGAACTACATGAAAGTCTTAAAAAAAATGTTGCATAAAAATGAAAAACCTTTACAGCAAGTGATTAGGCGATATAATGAACTATGCAAAAATGAATCAATTCAACCAATCACCCATAGTGAATTAAAGTATTCAAATCAAAAACCCGATTGTTTTGTTCTCACCAACTCTAATGAAATTGTACAAATAACTGAATTTAAAAATTCTTCTGATTTAACTACAGTTTTTATTGGTAAAATATTTGAAGAAAAAGAAGATCTTTTTATTAAACCTCTAAAGTCATCTATATTAAATATATTTGTTATAAACAAATTATCAGAGCATTTAAAACATTGGAATATTTCAGATATTAAAAATAAAATGCTTGTATTTGATTTGAATGACAAACTTACTGCGGTACCTATACTTCATCATAATTAAGTCAATATGTTGATTTAATTATGATGCATTGATGTATGTGTTGATACATGTATTGATGTATCTACATAATAATAATAATTATTATTATTATTACAAGTACCTTACCTATTACCTACCTTTTTTTTAAAAAAGTTTTTAATTTAATTATTTAGTATATAATATAGTATCTACCTATCTATAACTTATTATTTTAATTTTAATATTTATTATTATTTAATATAATTAATTATGTATGCAGGTACCTAGGTATATCAACCTTTATCTATAGTCTGTAATCTGTATAGGTATAATTTTTATATAATAATATAATTAATATGATACTGTTTTAAAAATTCTGTTAGTTCATCAAATTTTTAAATTTTTATAGGTAGTTTGTACCTAGATAAAACAAATTGAGTTATGTTGGGTCTACCTATATACTATTTACAATTAGTACTTTCACTAAAATATAACATTTTAAATATCTACATTTATGTATGAATATGTTTTCCTGTCTCTCTCTTTCTATACAAACATACCTATGTTTTTTGTATGATTATATATTATGTTGTAATAAAGCAATTCATTTCAGTAATATGTGGAGTGTTGTTTGCTTTGAAATTGACGACTCGGTAGATTTCATTCCAAACTTTTGGATGGACAAAGGAGTTTGGCTTGGCCAAAAAAAAAGAGCTAACGTGCGTAGTTACATTGAAAAAAGAGTAGACCCGGCTGAAAACCCAGATGCATTTATTTATTATAATGCACGTATAATGAGTCAAGATATTGGTAAGTATAGGTAATATAATTATGTATAATTTAATAATTCTATGGATTTACATTAATTAATATTTTTTTATAATTTCATTTTAGCTCAAATTGAAGTAGCTCAATTAAAAGCTAGAAAAGCACAAGTAACATCAGACTTATCGACAGACCATGAAAATATTATTGAAAAGAAAAATCACACATCCACACAGCAAAAACGTTATTTAAACAATTCTAAACCACCAAGTAAACCTTTATTTAGTGATGGTAAGAAAAAAATCCATTATAAAGATTTCATAATATATAAATATATAATTATTAAATATTATATTGTTTCAATATATATAGTCTTATACAGATATTGAAAGTGAAACAATATACCTAGTATTTTAAATTTTATATTTATAATCTTCATCCCATCATGAAGTGCTAATAATGAATAGCTTCTTCATCAAGCCAACCATGACCATTGACTATAACAAAAAAAAAAATATATTTATTTTAAGTGCAACTGCAATTTTTTTTTTCATTTCCTAACCCTTAACCTTATCCATCTTATTATAATTTATATTAATAGTAAAAATGTTATGGCTAATCACTATCTGGAGTGTACAATTTAAAAAAGTTCTAAATTAATAAATAAAGTATTATTATAATGTTATATGACTGTAGAAATATTATATTTATTATTTGTTAATTATAAATAATTAAATTACAGAATTTGATGGAGATGATTCAGATGTGGACAAATCATATAACCCAAAAATGAAAAATAAATTATTTGAAGTGTCATTATCGCCACCAAATAATTATGAAAGTAAATCAGATGGTTATTCAACTCCAATTAGTTCTCAATTGTCTGATACAAATAATAAAAGACTTAAGTTTGATCCAGTTGATGAACTCCCATCAACATCTAAAACATTGTCAGTTAAAAAAACTTGATTACGAAAATCAATATAAAGGTATTAACAAATTCCATAATTTATTATCTTTATAAAACGTAAAAAAAAAATGTACAAAATTTATTTTATAGATTTTTGTATAAATGATTTAATTTTACATGTCAATTCAAGATGGTTTTAATTGTATTTTAGTAGGTACAGTAAAACTTTCTTAAAACGGACACCCCATAAGACGGAAATCTCCCTAAAGGAAAATAACAACGTCCTTGAATAACTTATCGCGTATATTTTAGTCTCCCTATAACGGAAAAATTTGTCAGCCCAAGCGATTCCTTTATAGAGAGGTTTTACTGTACCTACTTTGAATGTATAAATGTATATTATATACAAGGGCGTCCCTAGACAGTTTTCAAGGGGGGGGGGGGCGAACCTATGTTTTAAATCGATATATTATGCTTACGGTATTAATAATAATAATAATAAATAAATAAATACAATTATACAATGAAATATTATATTATACAATATAATAATAATAATAAATAAGGATAGTAAATATTATAAAAAAAAATCTATTTTTCGTTTGTTTTTTGCAAACCGGTCAATTATATTATTTATGTCTACATCTATATTTCTATGCACATGCATTAATGCCAGTCCAGTCAATCTGCTTTGCCCCATTTGGCTCTGATTTTAATCTAAAAATCATGAAATAAATAGCAAGCAATTAGGTGAAAGCAAACTAATGACTACCGCATTATGGCATTATTCAAATAAATTTATAGTGTAAGCAAACGCAAAGTAAGCAAAATTAAAGCTTAAAATATAACATAAGCATAAGCATTGTTTCTAAAACAAAAGATCAATGGTATTGCTGTGAAATAAAATGTTATTAAAATTGTAATACTAATTTATAATATACAACCTGCGAAGTGTTGAAAAGCTCCTCTCTGCAGAAGCGACACTT